ATGGCAGGGGCGAAACCCCCTAAGACCCTCCCCCGCGGGAAGTGCACATAGGTTTTCCACCTTCAGACTCGGGCTCTCCCCCTGTCTACCCTGCAAGGTCCAGGGACCCCGCACCTCCGGTTCCCGCGGAGTGGGTGGGCCTTCCCGGCTGCCCACTCGAGCGCTGCCGCCCGGAAATCCCGCAGAGCGGACGAGCCCGGCGCCGCGCAGACTCCCCGGCTTTCAAACCCCGCGCCCGCGGAGCCCCGCCCCGCCCCGTGCTGCGCATGCGTGCTGCGAGGCCGTGCCTCGGGAGGGCGTGCTGCGGGAGGAGGCCCGCGCTCCAGGCTTTCCCGCCGTGACACCTGGGCGGGAGTGTCGTGCCCGTCTGCTGATAAACTGCTTGTTTAATCTCCCCGGCACACCGACTCAGCTACAGGGCCCGTGCTGTCTGTATTAAAGAGTGAACCAATGAGTGTGTAAAAAGTTGCATTTTCAGTGATTTTCATCCACCTTCGCGTTCTACCATGTAGGATGCATTCCGTCCCCAAGCTTCATGAAAAACCTGATCTTAAGGGAACTCTCTTATAACCTAATGGATAAAAGTACAGGCTGCATTTTGGAATCAGACTGGATTCAGAGTTTGGAGACTAGTAATAGCCACTAACTAGCCATGAGCTATCGATGAGTTACTAAAAGTCTCCAAACTTAACTTTAATTTAAAAAAAGCCTTAATAATAGTAGAGATAAAAGCTAATGTTTATGGAGCACTTGCCATGTAAGTGATTATTATAAAAGTTTAGATGTGGTATCAAAGTTAATCCTACCTATGAGATGCCTGTTATTATACAGCACTTGTATATATTTTCCTCCTGGATTCTCACTAAAATTCTACGATTTTAAAGGTATTTATTATTGTAACCTGGAAACTAACAGGGGACTCCTCCTCTACCCCTCTCCCCCAGTTCCTTCACAATTAAGAAAGTTTTCTTTTATTTTAAACGTTGTATCATTTGCTGCTTACCCCGGCCCTGTTAGGTAGAAAGTACGCAATATGATACAATTCATATTGTAAGTAATCAGATTCCAGAGAGGTTACCTGACTAACCCAAGGCAACAAACAGCTAGTAACTGATGGTGTTGGTTGGAACTGGAAACTATACAAGTTTTTTTTTACTGTATCCAGTGGCAGGGTATGTTTATAAGAATATCCACTACTTGCCTTTCTTTCATTCCTCCATCCCCAGTTGTTATATCAGCTGTTAACAGTATCTGATGAGCCCACTGTGGTTCTAAAGAATCACCTTGAGGATATGCACCTGCCAAACCCCACTTCCCGGACTCAAATCTCTGATCAATAACTCTATCATTATCACATGTTGTTGGCCTAATAAACTGTACTCCGAGGAAATGGTGACACAGTCTACTTGGGAGTGTGAACTCAGCTCCTCACTGAAGATAAAGCTACTGTTCTAACTGACATTGAATTAAATGATGGTGTGATCAAGTAGATCAAGTCAATCACCTCTGGTCAAGGAGATACAGAATGTTCAGTAGTTGATAGATTCTTCAGCTTCAAGGTCACAAATATTTTCTCGTATGATTTCTTCTAGAAATGTTACAGTTTTAGGTTTTTTATTTAGGTTCAGGATCTATTTTGAGTTGATTTTTATAGGTTTTATGAGACAGACACTGACATTCTTTTTTTGCATATAGATATCCAAATGTTCTAGCACCATTTGTTCAAAAACTTTTTTTCTCTATAGCATTCATTGCCTTTGCACTTTAATCAAAGATGCACAACTATATGTGGTTTATTTTTGGACTTCTTACTCTGTTTCTTTGAGCTATTTGTCTATTGTTTCACCAGTACCATACTGTTTTGAATACTGTAGCTTATTAATAAGTTATGAAATCAGGCAGTGTTACTCCTACAACTTAATTCTTTTTCAAAGTTGTTTCTAGATCCTTTGCATTTCCATATGAATTTTAAAATCAGTTTGTCATTTTCTATTAAAAGAAAAGCTTGCTAGGATTTTGACTGGGATTGTGTTGAATCTCAGATCGATTTGAGGGAAAATTGACATCTTAACAATATTGAATCTTCTGATTCATTAACTTCTTTAATTTCCCTCAACAGTGTTCTGTACTTTTCAGAGACTGGGTCTTTTACAATTTTTGTCAAATTTCAACCTAAGTATTTTTATTTTTGATAATATTGTAAGTGATTTTTTACAATTTCAATTTCTGATTGTTTATTGTTAATATACGGAAATATACTGTTTGTAATTTGTCTTATGTCCTGCAGCCTTGCTAAACTTACTTAATAGTTCTAATAGCTTTTTTGTACATGCTGTATGATGTTCTACATGCAATCATGTTGTTTGTGTTTGGAGGAAAACTTGTCTTTCTCCAACTTGGGTCTGGTGATTGGGGGCCTGCAAATTAACAACAGATAGATTACCAGGAGAAGAGACAAGCCATGTATGTGTGGGAATACGCAGTGATGAGTAACTCACTGAACAGCCAGACATTAAATGTTTATGTATAAAACTTCACAAAGCTTGGGGGTTGGAGTGAGGTTTAGGGCTTCAAAGGGAAGCTATAGAAGGTTCTATTGAACTTGTTGATGGTCATGAGGATAGGCCGACTGTCTCCCTGGCACCTGAATTCCACTAGGAGGGGAGCTAATGGCAGCTGTGTTTTCTGGAGGTTCTGCTTTCATCAGGTAAGTGAAGTTCAGATAAAATTTATTTCTACCTCTTCATTAGCTCAAATGCTTTCACTTTAAAATAATCTTTATACCAACTCTAGGAGTCATACAGAAAAAAAAAGACAAAAGACAGGAACAAAATATTCAAAAGAAAAGATGCAAAAACCATCCTTAAATTTTTGAAAAGATTTTCATTCTCACACATAGAGACATGCAATCTAAAACTAGCGGGGTATCATTTTCCTGTCAAATTGCCGAAAATGAAAAAGCTGGACAATGTGTTCTGTTGGCAATACTGTAGGTAAATAGTCAGTGTTCTACGTTGCTGATGGAAATAAAAATTGTACAACCTTTGGAAGAGAAATTCGGTAATACCCAACACAAATATACGTGCACTTACATTCTGACTCACTAATCCCACTTCTAGGAGTTTAACCTGAAGATCCTCTCCGAGTGATATGCGAATACACAACCACAAGTGTTTTCATTGTAGCCCTGCTTACAACTGCAAAATGTTGCAGCTGGTCCCTCATCCAACATGTCCTTAGAAAAAGGGGAAATTCAGACAGAGACACACAAAGGGAGAACACCGTGTGAAGACCAGAGAGGTGCTTTCACAAGCAAAGAAGTACCACCAGCTGGAAGAGAGGCCTGGCTCAGCGCCTCCCTGGTGCCTTCAAAGGGAGCAGGGCCGTTCCCACACCAAGACCTTGGACTTCCAGCCTCAAGAGCTGTGAGATGATAAATTTCTGTTGTTTGAGTCACTCCGTCTGTGGCACTTTGTTATGACCGTTTGCGTAAGAAACAAAGGCGAAAAATAAAATAGGATCTGTGAGTACGTGCAGAAAAGAATCAGACAGGCAGGATAAACCAAAGGTCTATGCGATTTGCTACATGCAGGACGTGGTGGGAGTGGGGTGCAGAGGAGCAACAGGAACAGGGTGGAAAGGACATTTCTGGGAACATACCTTTTTATAGTCTGGTTGTTAGAACCGTGTTAATAATGTACCATATACTCAAAACAGCAATCAGAAAGTCAGTAAGGGTGGGGGGCGGGGAGCTCAAAATACTTAACTGTACGTCGAATAAGTAACATAATGACCCTGAGAGGGAAAAAATTTAAGTAATTTGGACACAGTGGTAAAAATAACTCTAAGTAAATATCAAGCTCCAGTTAATTATTTTGTCTTTCATGAGGGTAAAGGTTAGTATTTTTGAAGCTGTATTTTATGTGTATTTTAGAATTGTGCAAATAAATACATGTACTGTGGATCCTGAGAAGCAGGCTTCTCAGTGTTGGAGAAGGGAGTAATAAATGTGGAGAGAAGAGGAGGCTGGAGTGAACCGTGGTGTTGGACTGGAATTGGTTTACGGTTTTTCATAGATAAATTGAAATAAAGCAATAGAAGTAGACGATATAGTCCAGGTGTAGGTGCAGATGTGGGTGTGCATATGGGTTTGTGCGAGTGTGCACGCGTCTTCTAGCTCTGTCCGCTGAGACTGCCTGTGATGTTTCAAATATATATAACAAATAGCAGACCTAAGGCCCAGAGCTTGGTTTCTAAATACCATTTTCCACTAACAAAATAGAAGTTCCTTGAAGAAATAGCTAATTCCATGGCCGAGGCAAGAAAATTGCCACATGGGTCTGGAATATTTTTTTGTTCCAGAAAGAAAGAAAGAAAGTGCGGAGCGGATGGGACAGTGATTAGTCCTGATGGTCTCAACCACCCTGGGTAGAAAGGATGCTGACGGCTGGTAGGTCGTGGCCTCGCCATGCGCAGCGAGGTTCCAACCAGCCCGGCTGTTCCTGCCCAAGCACAGGGTACCTGTGACTCAGGGGGTCCAAAAACAGCAAGCAAGGGATCAGGGTAACCAATTAATATTAAATATAGCAGCTCCTGCTATACAACTTAAAATAATTTCTGGTAAGGGTATGGTGATTTTAGTATAGAATCCTCATGTCGAAAAAGATGCTGATTTTAAATATATTAAGGGAAAAAAAACCCTATCCTCATATAAACTGGAGAGATATTTACTCTGCCCAGAGGAGTCTCAGGTGTGAAGACATTTTGGTTTAGTGCTGTCTGAAGGGCAGCTTCAGAGCTGTGACAAAAGCCTTGTTAAAAAAGAAAGAAAGAAGGAAGAAAGCCTTAACCAAGAAACAGCATATTGAAAAGATCCATCCTGATACAAGAAAATATTTACATTTGAATGATGTTATCATCTAGTCCAACATATTTGTGCTACAGATTAGAGGAAAAAGGCTAACAGCTCAAAGTCATGAACCCACTTAAATTAGCATCAGTCCCAGAACTCAGGTCTCTGAACTCAGGTCCAGCTGGTTTAGCTGTTGCATCCTAAATGTCTTCCTGAGTTATTTACTTAGCACCGTCTGTGTACCAGGAAGTGCAGAAGGCTTTAAATATATGGTCATGAACCTCTTCTCATTTGATCGACTAGCTCTTCACGCCAGGAGGAGAATCTGTCACCTAAGCTAAGAACTGTACATCTCATTAGTAGGGACAAGGTTAATAAAACTAATGAGTTCAAAGAAATGCGACCTTTGCAATAATGTACGCTAGTTTTATTTTTTGTCATTGCATTTCTATTCAGGGGTTTTAATAAGAGAATCTAATCTAAAGAAAGGATCTAGTGAAATCTAAAATAAGTTATCTGTGCGTCTTCATTTGTGCTCTCTGCAAAAGGAGAAAAGATGAAAGTCACACCCCTCTGCCAATACTCTCCCGCAGTAAAAGGGACGCACACTCGAAAGCCCTTTTATACACACTCAGGACAGAGAGAAGCCACAAATACTGACGTTCCTTAGATGCTCACCCAGCTCAGCAGGCGGCGGGCTTTCAGAGCTTCCTGCCGACAATCCGACAACTGTCAGACGGGAATCAGGACGTGCCGCCTCTGAGAAGTCCCGGCAGATGAGTCAGATCAAAGGCCCAGGGCTTCAGAGGGAAACCTTGCTGCCCCAGAGTCTGAGGTTCCCTCTGGAATCTTCCATCCTCAACAGCATCGCATAAACATTTAGGGCAGAAGTGGAGCTGTGTTTCCTAGGAGTTCATGAATTTCAAAGGTGAAGCACAGATCACTCACAGTTACATTTTCCTTTGTGGTGTTTCCATAAAACCAAAAAAAAAAAAAAGATAGTGGAGAGAGACTTGACTAGCACACATTAAATCTAATAGAAAACTTTATGACTTCCTGGTGAAAAAATAAATCTCTGATTCTTCGTGTTAGAAGGGAATTTGACATTTTTCTTAAATAATCATAGCACAATATCCTTTCCTCAAATTTAAAATTTTTAAAAATGAAGGTTTGATGTGTTTTAAAATGCGAATATTACTTGATGACACAGAATAACCAACATGCCTGCCCTCAGAAATAGGAACAAATTGTAAAAACCATGAATACACAATTGAAATAAGTGAATGACTGAAAAGGGGAGAAAAGGCGGAAAAAGAGCTTGAAAAACTGAAGAACTGAAATGATTTGCAAGAACCATAAAGAATTAGTTTCGTACCTTAGTCATATTTCACAGCAGTAAAAAAGGAACGTTTATAGCTGTCTGAAGAAGTAATGTTCTTATCCCAATGAACTCCAATGTGAGTTCCATTAAGATAAGGGATTCTTCCGAGGGGTGTTTTTACCTAGACCAGCCACTTCGCTTCAGTGCCAAGAAATACATGACCCATTAGCTTTATTTCTTCAGAATCTACTTAAAACTCAATCAGGAAACTGCACGATACTGCACTTCGGTGGGGAGAACAGATGAAATGTGGTGAGCCCTGTCTCCAGGGAATGGCTGCTCTGCGAAGTGCTGGCTTTCCCCCCTAGTATTGCTGTTCTCATTTGCCCCTAGCAATTGTAATTTTAAAATGTAAATTAATGTCTCTCCCCACCCTTTGGTGTTTTGACTGCCTTTAGTATGTACCCCTTCCTTCATTTACTAACAGATGTTTACCAGATCCAGTGACCAAACAGGCTTAGAAAAGGGAGTAGATACACCATTAGGAAGCAGGTTGTTCGAAAGAATTGCCTGTGGCCTGAAGCAATGGCCCCTCAACACTCTTCAAAAGTAAATTGCCTCAAATCCTTTCTGGAAGCAAAGAGATGGACACAGAAAGTGTGACAGGGAAGGGCACACCTGACTCCGTGCTGGATCCGTTCCTGTGGCTCCAGCCCTGGGCTCCGTCTCCTGGGC